GAGTGTTGCTCACTACATCGTTCACTGGTTGTCTGATGTAGACTTGATGTTCTCAGTAAGTACTGACTGAGTTTGGTTTTACGCCGCTTTTAGCAATATTACAGCAACATCACGGCGGGGGACACCAGAAATGGGCTTCACGCATTGTACCCATGTGGGGATTCGAACCAGGGTCTTCGACGTGACGAGCCAACGCTTTAACCATTAGGATACCCCACCGCCCCTTTCTGGGTAAGGAAGGATCCCTGCAACCTATGCTTGTGGTAACTTGCTACCAAAAGGTGTTCATTTGAATGGGTGTCATCATAACCCACAACATCATAGCTCACAACATTGATCAGTGGTTGTGATGTAAACTTGTTGTTCTGGGTTAAGAAGGGTCCCTGCAACCTATGCTTGTCATAACTGGCATAAAGGTGTGTACTTGGCTGTGTGTCATCGTGACCAAACAGCTTAGGTTGTTGCTCACAATATCAATCACTGATTAGTCTGATGTAGACTTGATATTTTACAGGCTGACATTTTACGGCTAAAAGTTTATTGAGTGTGGCTTTAAACATTTCAAAATGGCTTCCATGAGGTGTCTGGTTCATGGAAGCTGATCCAGACGACATGTCAGAAAATCTATTTCTAATTCAGATGATTGAATGTCGGTGTGGTGAAGTCATACATAATCTTGTCACAACATCAATCACACAACCATCAAACTAGGCACGGTTTCAGGACTCAAGAAGCTTACCCAAGTTACTGAATGAGAACTGTTCTTCATGTAACAGGCTTCAGGCATTTTGAAAGAAGAAAATGCTTTTGATACATCGATTCATAAATCATAACCAAACCATGACTCAAGTCATGATGCATATCCAAGCTTTATCTGGGACTTAAAACTAAGTGTCCTTGGCAAGTAAAGTTGTCAGAAAAAAACTTACTTTGTTCTGAATTTAAGGGACATGTTACCATCACTCACAAATGCATTAAATTAATGCAACAGCCTTAAACAAACCCCAAATTCCATTGTCTTCACTTGTTCTGTTTTAGAACAAGTATGGTTTTAGCAATATTCCAGCAATATCATGGCGGGGTTCACACATTTTACCCATGTCGGAATCGAACCTGGATCTTAGGCATGACGAGCGAATGCTTTAACCACTAGGCTACCCCACCGCCCCCGGTTTATTTGAGTCTAGTATGTACTTGTGCTGCTTTATATTGGTAGTGAGCACCACAACGTCATGAACCTTTAGTAAAACACTCTGCGCATATCTTCACCAATTCACTCTGGCTGTTGCAGCCCCATTAACAGAGAACAATATACTTCAGCGCTCACATCTCAAACACAAGCTGATGCTTGGAGGCTCAAGCAAACCAACCGAAGGACCAAGATCTCAAGACCTGATTCATTCTTCCCTCCGAGTCATAAAAACAAATCTTGGGAAATGCTTCAATAGAAATCGCCAAGAGTAAAGATTTGGCCCAGCGCTTCAAATAGAGCTGCTGTGGAATCATTGAACAGACAACTGAAGATTTGTCGATGAGATCTCCTCCTAAGACAACATGCTGTTTTTGCACCTCGCGTGTATTGATTAATCTCTAAACTGTTGCCGTTCGCCACTCAGTTGGACGAGGAAAGAGAATCAGGTTATTTACACGATGTGCACTGGCATTACTTTTGACATGGAATTTATAGTAATACCTTATTTCCAATTTTGTCACTTATAACAGAGGAGGAAGCAAATATTGGATTATCAAATTTATCAACAATTTTTGACAAAGAGAAATGTTACAAAGGAATGTTCGTTTCCTGGATTTTCCAAACACAGGACGACGACACCTGGAACTTCAACTTCAAGGAAAGGAAATATGAAAGCTAATGGTTCAGAGGTCCGTTTGATAAAGTCAACATTTCTTCAAATGGAACACTGACGTCTTTCAAAGATTTCTCCATTTTTTTAAAAAGACAATTATTCTGGGGCATCTAAAGATGTAATTTCCGCAGATGCAACAACATAGGTTGTGTTTGTTATTCTTGTATACTTTTTAGCATCTGAGTAGCATATCTGCAGAAGGAACATGTGCCGACTTCCTCACTGAATCAGATAAAAGATTGAGTTTCTTGTAAACAGGGAAATAGGAATCTGTAGTTTTCTTTAAGAGACCCAACCTCATGGGTCAATATTCCATTTGAAGAGGCTCAGTCCATGCAATGGTTACGTCTGCAGAATCATGCATTCATAATACCACATCTGATGCCCATAAACACCTTCTTCCACACACCCTGAGTCATAGCTCAACCCAGGCCTTTCACTATGACAAAGACCAGTGACAGAAAACAGTCCTATCAAATTTCACAAATTTCGGAATGATCTGACTCACGACACTGCTTCTGTTGACCTTCAAAAATCACAGCTCAGGCATGGGCCTAATAAGGACTAGCTGTGTATTTGTTTGTATGAGAATGATCTGTACAGTAGAACTCTTGAGTCAAAGATTCAGGATCTAGATAGGATAGGTCAGGTGCCACGTGAGATTCAGATGAGATTTGGTCATCACATCTGCTGTCAGTGACAGCTTGGGCGGCCATCTTGGACTCTCTTTTCCACAGATGTGGAGCATGCACATGCACAGAAACAAACACAGACAGCCATTAAAATTGCCGACCATGAAAACATGATTCATCATCAACCCAACACTCATCGTCCTTCAATGGCCAGGATGAAAGAAACACATTATGCATTTGAGCTCTTAATTTCTGTTTGATGTGAGTCGGTGTGAAGCTGGCAGTTGAGTAATTGCTTGAACGTGATCTGCTATATTTTGAAAATTTTACATTTCACCAAAACCACAGCCTCTCTGACAGAAGATTAACAAAGCCACAAATTCTTCCCAAAATAACCATAGTTTCAAATATTGGCCAAATTTCAACAGTTTAAAACAAATTCCTCCAGGAAAGAAATTCAAATAATAATATGTCTTCCTCAAGTAGATCCAGAAATTCCCTTGAAACAATACAAAACAAACCACTCAAAACAATCAGAACAAATAAAATTGATGCCATACAATCAAATTCGCAAGTGTAAGGCTAATGGTTCCAACACGTTCCAATATCAGCCCGATCATGGTTTACCGGGAGTTCCAAGCTGCTAACAGCTAATCCTACAACTGTCTGACACACATGTTTGATGCATGCCTTGTTTCTTTGTCTGCACAAATATCTTCAATACCCGAGAAATAAAAACATACTCCTGGCATTCCTTCCCAGCAGCTCAAACAAAGTGCACAGGGTAAATACACATTTGGGGCTAATTTGAGCAATGGGATCTGTTTTCAGTATAGCATTAGGGGTTTGTTGGGAAAGTGTCATTCATGCGATCAGACTTGACAAAAATAGTTCTCACAATGTCACGGAATGTCAAGCATATTGATGGTGCAAATATCAAAGTTTGTGCCAAAAACATTCCGAAATACAAAATTGTTTTTGGTCAACCTGTAAGCTTGAACTTGAACAGTGTGTTGCACTTTAGCCATGAAAAAGGCACAGTGCTATTTGGGTCACTTCAGTTCACATACCAAGTCTCATTCATGAAATGATTTCAAAACTATTTTAAACTTTCAACTCACATCTGCAGAGACCTGGAAAATGTGTGCATAAATTGAAACTTTATAATGTCATATAAACACGGGAAAAACAACATTCCAAGAGATTTTCTTGAGTTTGTATCATGAAGTTGTGAACCTTGGTTATATTGCAGGAACTACCATGGAGGACGTCAAGAACAGGATCACTGATTGCCCAAATGCAGAATGAGATCACCATCCAAATATGGACATCACTTGACAATAAGTTGACATGTAGTACACGCTCAAAGAACCATGTCACATTACACACTATCTTGAAAATGTAAAATTAAAAGAAACAGGATACTTTTTTAGAATGCAGCAATGAATACTAAGAAATACTTTGAAGGGAAATTGTGCCATGTCATCTAAAACTTTGTAATCTTTGTAACCAGGATGCAGAAGATGAATTTCACTTCCTATATGCCTGACCTGCACCTGCTGAGTCAAGGCTACAAACATGTGAAGTATACACCCCATCATGACATACGGACTATTTGATGGCTCTTGTGACATCTGGTAACTCGAGATTATTTGTTGCTTATAGTAACTACATTATGGAAACATTAATTTGGAATAATTTGTTGAGTTCAGTCATGGACATGAGCCCATGTCCTAATACTGACAGACTGATTGACTCGAGGAAGTTGTCAACACTATGCTCCATGACTACCAAAACCTCTCTCATAAAACCCAAAACATGTTGTGGTTGTCCAGTGCGTGGACATGAGCCCTTGGCCTAATATTTACTGTGTAACTCCAACAGAGTTGTCAACAGCTATGCTACACGACTACCAAAACCTCTCTCATAGATGAGGTGAGGTAAAATTGGGTTTAACGTCGTGCTTGAGAATATTTCCTCATATGACGACGTGCATGTGTGTGTATGTGTATGTGTGGCTGCTTGTACTAGCCCAGACTAAGGCTGGTTTTATAGTGCTAGCCCACTGAGATACCATGCCGAATTGAAGCATGAATACCCCACTCAGACACATTATACTGACTCCGAGCCAACCAGTCCTTGTTGTACCCATTAATGCCGAGCGCCAGGCAGGGACCAACAAGTGCCATATTTTAACGTCTTTTGGTATGACGCGGTCGGGGATCGAACCCGCGACCTTCCGCTCTCCGCGGGCGGACGCTCTAACCACTACACCACGGAGGCGGTCCCTCTCTCATAGAACAAAAAGAACATGTCGTGGTTGTCCTGGTAACAGATGCATTCACAGATTACCAGTCCGTCCCTGGAACCCTGAATAGTGCATTCCATCACTGAAGTCACTGTCTGGACAAAATGTCTTTATTCAGCACCAGAACTCATTCCACTGCAGGTGATCACACTCACTTGCGTAAGCATTCCAAGCAATGACCTTGAACTCACTCACCTCGAGAGCTGGTGGCCATATCTGCCACTTTCTGAAAGGCATCCAGGAAGGCGCTGATCGCTATGAGGGTGGATCTGAAGGAGAAACAATCTGTGGTTATCTTGTGGAACACAGCTGTAAATCAGACATAAATAAACAGGTGGTTAAAAGCTTACACAAATCAAATACTACTTGAGGCTGGGAATCAAGTGTTTAAATGTTTATGTACGGCTGAGTCTGAGTATGCATGGAAATATAAATGGGAATTTTTTTTATTGATTTTTTTCGAATGGGGGAGTAGTATGAGTGTTGTTACATAATGTAAGTGAACTGTCACACTGTCTGTCGGGGTTTACAGATTGAATATCATGGGGGAAGAATGATTGACAATGGTCGTGTACCATTATTGTGTAATACCAGCAGTTACACATATAATTACTCACAGTGACTGAGCTTTGTGATCATGCGATGCTATGACGTGTTTGCAGACACAAATCATCATGAATAACCATGAATGACGGATCATTATTCATTCTTATGGTGATAATGGACTCAACAGTTAATATTGAGATTTGTCTTGCAAAAACTAAGGATTAAGAACATTTTCTCGCTGCTTTTAGCAATATGTCAGCAATATCAATGCAGGGGACACCAGAAATGGGCTTTATACAGTGTATTTTATACAGTGTAGACCAGGAATCGATTCAAAGTCTACGGCATGACGAGCAAACACTTTGACCGCTAGATTAGCACACCTACTAGAAGATGAAGACATCATACTTCTGACAGATGATAACGCAAAAAGGTGAGGTGAGGTGAAATTGCGATTAACGTAGTGCTTGAGAATATTTCGCTCATATAATGACGTGCATGCTTGTGTATGTGTGGCTGCTTGTACTAGCCCAGACTTAAGCTGGTTTTATAGTGCTAGCCCACTGAGATACCATGAAGCATGAATACCCCACTCAGACACATTATACTGACTCCGATCCGACCAGTCCTTGTTGTACCCATTAATGCCGAGAGCCAGGCAGGGACCAACAAGTACCATATTTCAACGTCTTTTGGGATAACCCAAAAAGGCACCAACTGTCTGCTACATCTCTACAGATACCTTCATCTCTACAGACAATATGTTCTTCTGTCTGAATACTACCAGTGAAGATCCGAGTTAGAATTCATCTACAGCAACCCACGCTTGTTGCAAGAGTTGACTAACGGGATCGGGTAGTCAATCTCGCCAACTTGGTAATCATGTCATCATATCCCAATTGTATAGATTGGTGATGATCACTGCTGATGCTGCTGATCACTGGAGTGTCTGGTCCAGACTCCTTATTTACAGACCAGGCCATGTATTGCTTAGTGCGGCATTAAACAGCAAACAATGGACTGTCTGAATACTCAATGACCTGTTCAACAAGGAAGACCACTATCTAACATGATCTAATCTATCATATTTCCCACAAGGTCATGGATCGAGTTCTAAGGGGGATCACATTCAAAACAATTGTACGTTGCTCCACAGACATGATGAGTGTCCTGTTTATGATGGACTCTGGATTTCCTTTTTCAAAGTAAAACTGGCGTAAACATGAGTTCTTCAACAAGTTTCAAGAATGATGGCAGCAGTGAAAACGTGCACACTGAAAACCATGTTGGGACATTAACCCTGTCAACTTGAGGTGGGTGGGTGGGTGGGTGAGTGAGTGAGTGAGTGGAGTGAGAGTTGAGTGAGTGAGTGAGTGAGTGAACATTTCCCATCACAGTCCCATACAGAGACAAATTGGGAGTGGATGCAAGTAACATATTCTGCTAGTCCTAAGGGATGTAAAAAAAGTAGGAATGTCTGAATCAATGACACTTTTTAAACTTGTAGATTGTGCATATCAAAAACACACACTGAAACAAGTAAACATGAATGAACAAACTAGTTAAAACCAAATCAGAAATGAAAGACTAAAAAAAAGACTAAATGAACAAACAGAAAAGAAAGAATGAACAAATTAAAAAACAACAAAACAAAAAACCCATAAAATTTTAAAACACGAAAAATTAATCTGGTGTCTCAAAAAAAACCATAAATTAGACTCTCAAACACTGCACACACTCCACTGCGGAAAACAGCCATGTTTTAAAGTGTGGCAACACATCTGCCCATCATTCTATCCTCAACACCAACCAAACAAAAAAGAAGAGACACACACATTGCCCTGCAAAGATCATTTTGTTGAGGTGTAGAATTGCACAAGACATGTATATTCCTGGGAAATTCCCCCATTTTCTCCCCCTTTCGCATATCTGGGGATGACTCACTCCATCGCACATGCACACGACAATCTGTTACGACAATCTGTTACGTGGGCCAACACATCTCTCAACATTCACAAAACGCTATCTTTACATGAGGCTCTGGTCTCATCGCCATGTTTTTGTATTTTTTTGTACAAATCTTTTGGTCATATCGAGCTCTGTTACAATGAATAACAAGAAGATGTGAATCATCTGTTCAATTCGTTGAAAAGCAGTCACTCAAAGTATATTTTGGTTGAGCTGTTAAAACATAACTTAAGCAAGACGTGTTCAATAATCACACTTTCACAGTACATCTGACTCTTAATATCTCAATGCCTGATAACTTAAAACGCTTCATATTTCAAAGAAAACACTCCTTCCGAACTTCATCGTCACATGTTGATTCTAGTTCTTCTATCTGAGATACCAGCACAATATTTGTTGTTTCCTTCAACCTGAAGACCTCCAAGTCCACCGATTGTTTTGTTTGTTGTTTTATGCGACACTCAGCAATTTTCCAGCTACATGACCGCAACAATAACCAAATCTTGACCAGCCCAATCTATGATTGATATTTAGAGCAATGTTCCATGTCCTTGGGCTGCAATGAGACAATCACACTCCGTCCAATTCCCCAGGGAGTTGAGATTGATAATGCGATGTGCCGTTGAGATTGACATCCAATGATCGAGGGAAACAATACCAGCGCCTTGAACATGCACTAGTGCGTGGATATGTGCGCTATATAAATATCCTATAATGAATAATAATAATTCATATTCCTGCATATTACATAAGTAGTAGGTATGTCACGATACGTAAGTTTCACGAATCGATACGTATCACAATACCCATGTCACGATTCGATACGTATCACTATACCTATTTTCGTGGCATTATTGTGTAAATTTGGTTACATTTTGAACATTAATATTTCATATTTTATAATTGTCCATGAAAAGATCACCGTTTTTGATTCTCAGAGATTAAAAAGTTCTAATTTCCCATCTTTGTGCATGAAAAATAATCATTTATAACACTCATAACATAAAAAAAACATCATACAATTGCAAAATGTAAATGATACCTAAACATATTTAAACCGATACTTTCAAAACTAAATATCGATACAGTTTTGAATGTATCGATAATTGTATTGTCTTAGAAAAAGTATCGATGCATCGTGGCATCCGTAACAAGAAGGTTGTGGACCCAGAATTCCACAGCATCTTCTTTCTTCCCGATTCAGGGTGTACACAAATTCTCTGTTCATGATTCAAAGTGTACACAGCGAGTCCTATCGAGCTATGTCCTAACTTACTGAACAGCACTACAACTGAACATGGCTGTCTGATATTTCTTAAACATCACCGACAGCGACCTTCTACACACCACTAAGCGAACTTGACACTGTAGCATTTCATGTCAGGATCACATCTATCTTCCAATAGATATCACTAACTCAAAACTATCTACTAAACATCACTGACATTCATATTCTAACTTCAAAGCAACCAATCTACTAATATCACTCACACCATCTACTAAACATCACAGACTTTCATTTACTTGACTTTCATTTACTAAACTTCAAGGCAACTAATCTACTAAACATCACTGACACCATCTACTAAACATCACAGACACCCATCTACTAAAATCTATGAAACCCATCTACTAACATCTATGACCCCAATCTACTAAACATCACTAACACCCATCTACTAACATCTATGACCCCAATCTACTAAACATCACAGACACCAATCTACTAAACATCACTAACACCCATCTACTAACATCTATGACACCCATCCACTAACATCTATGACCCCAATCTACTAAACATCACTGACACCCATCTACTAAACATCACTGACACCCATCTATGACCCCAATCTACTAAACATCACAGACACCAATCTACTAAACATCACAGACACCCATCTACTAACATCTATGACACCCATCCACTAACATCTATGACCCCAATCTACTAAACATCACTGACACCCATCTACTAAACATCACTGACACCCATCTACTGATATCTATGACACCAATCTACTAAACATCACAGACACCAATCTACTAAACATCACAGACACCCATCTACTAAACATCACTGACACCCATCTACTAAACATCACAGACACCCATCTACTAACATCTATGACACCCATCCACTAACATCTATGACCCCAATCTACTAAACATCACTGACACCCATCTACTAAACATCACTGACACCCATCTATGACCCCAATCTACTAAACATCACAGACACCAATCTACTAAACATCACAGACACCCATCTACTAACATCTATGACACCCATCCACTAACATCTATGACCCCAATCTACTAAACATCACTGACACCCATCTACTAAACATCACTGACACCCATCTACTGATATCTATGACACCAATCTACTAAACATCACAGACACCAATCTACTAAACATCACAGACACCCATCTACTAAACATCACTGCCACCCATCTACTAAACATCACAGACACCCATCTACTAAACATCACAGACACCCATCTACTAAACATCACAGACACCCATCTACTAACATCTATGACACCCATCTACTAAACATCACTGACACCCATCGACTAGATATCACTGACACCAATCGATCAAACATCAATGCTCTATACCGTCTCTGATATTATCCTCTGTCTCTCATACAGACTCTGAAAGTAAAACTCCTATCTATCTATCTGCATGCATGTACGAATTCTATAATTCATCTGATTATATTTTGTACATTATTCTTTGATCAATATAAACCAAATATCACATAACTTTATTTTTAGATCTATTTCTCCAAGGCAACAATTACCCTTTCAGAACTAACAATAAACAAGTAATTAAATTCTGAGGCCCTCAGCAATAACTGTATCTAGGTCAATACGAGACTATACATCCCTACAGACTGTTTACTCCCAAATACAGACAGTGTAGATCCCTGTATACTGTGCAGGCCTACAGCAGTGAGTACAATATAGAGATGAGTCACACCACAGCACAACATTGAGGCCCCTGGACCATTCAGGGGGACAGGATGGATATAAACACTGTCTGGGACCATCAAAGCAACATCAAGCCTGGTACAGTTGGATGAGTTCACTGACTGTAACTCGGGACAAGTGTCAAAACTTCCACATCAATGGCCGCCATTTAAAACCCAGTTGCTATTTTCTTTACAAAAAGTGTTTTGTAGGTTAATGGTACCCCACATCAAGGAGTAGATTTGTTTGCTTCATAAGATATTTTTGTAATATTTACCGCTACAATACTTGTGGTAATTGATGGCTGTGTGCTGATGTACATCAGATAAATATGCTAAAACTCGATCTGCGTCTGCTTTCCACCAGACGTCATAAAGGACATCAGCACACTAGGTGTGTTCACATGAAATATGTTTGTAAGGTAACTGATGTTCTTCAAGAAACATTTCACAGCAATCTTAACCATTTCTTTCCAGTTCAGTGAGCTCAGTTTGAAAATGAATATTAATGGATATTTGCTATGTTGACAAATGCTGAACTTACTTCAGAGAAGAATGCATTTTCGTTGCCTTGTAAGTAAAATCCTCCCATATTGGCGAACTTCCCCTGAAACAACAGAAGAAAGCATTTAACATGTTGACAGTTACAGGGACAAAATGTTTTAATTTTTAAACACTGAAATAAAAAAACATGATAAAGTCCAGTGGTCATTGTCTGTTAGTAACACTTAGTAACATTCCAGCTTTATTTGTAGACAATCAAATCCGGACCAGGAAATCTAGTGACTGATGTTATGAGCATATATACTAATGCAGTTAGGACACCATGACATCAACATGGATCATCGACCAAGACCACACTCCATTTGACTCCATCTTATCAAATCTTGAAATCCCCATAGCATTAATTGTAAATAAAATGTGCATGCATGTAGCTTAATATTTAAAAATAAGAAAGCAATACATGACGTTTTATGCTGTAGTCAGCAAAATTCAAGCTATAAAACAACAGCAACAGGCTATGAAATGTGATGTCTGGCTATGAATATTCAATTGAATGCATCATATTCTCAAGGGACATGTAATATTCATCAGACGATATGGCACATTTTCTACAGAATTCTTAGTGCTCAAACTGTCACCAAGTCCATGCTGAAGAGTGGGAGTTAAAACATCTTAGTAATAAAATCAATTTTAGAACAGGACCCGTGACTTAGGTCAAACCTGGTTCAATCATCCCTTTAACTGGTTTGACAACGTTTTTTATCTTGGAAATAAAAAATAAGATTGTTATCACAAAAGAATTCTTGTCACAATAGAATTGTTGTGTTAATCATGTACTACGACAGCAACACAAAAGGTTTGCATCATAATACAAGGGTCAATACATGCAATATGATACATATCACAATGTAGGGATATATATGGACTGACTCAGTTGCCCTAACATACAACCTTTGTGAACTTAATATACCAAGAACTGACAAGCATCCGCTGTCCACTCAAAAAACAAAACAATGACAAGCAACCTCTGTCCACTCAACGCCAACCTTTATTATCCTGTCACAAGTGTTTATGAGTGTTGCATCATGGGAATGCTGACAACATGTACGAATGTTTGAGCGAGATAAGCATGACCAGCCCTTTAATGTAAGGAGGTGTTTATATAAATACATTGGTGAACACACGACCTCGATGGCACGTCAAGCATGTCGACACTGCAAGTACTCAAAGGTCCTACTTGTGATCATGTGATAATCTCATGTTAACAGTGACGCTCATATATATACGCCATAAGGCATATACATTTCTGTATATACCAAATGAATCACATATTGAATATAACTGATTATGCATAAATTGTTATTTATCATATGATTTACATTCTGAAAAGTATCAAACTACAAAATTCTGCAATATATTATATGGATGGTCAGATGGTCGTAACCCTTAAAATCCAAAATGGAATATCTATATTTACTACTTTATATTTTTGGGTCACATACAAGATGCCTGATATGACTGGTGTCTGTATAAAGGACGGACGTACGGACGCCACTGAATACATAGTCCCCCGTACCGCGTTGCGGCGGGGGACAATAAAAGTTATAAATAAAATATGAAAATATTATTAAATGATTCATAGATCATTAAACTAGTTAACAGCAATAACAAGTTGAAGAAACTCCTCACATTACTCTGAAAGGGAAAACAGCTGTGAAACCACACATATTCATGTATCAGCCATGCCCAATTTTCAGATGACTCTGCATAAACTGGTAAAACCTGGTAAGCAGAATCGGATTACCAGGCCACTAAAATATCTTCAGTTACATAGATCCACCACACACTTATGTTAGGTAACCAGGTCGTAGCCATTATCTTATCCAGACAAACAGGTGTTGGTTGTCATACAGTTATCATAACATATTTGGCCATCGTGTCACCGCCTGCACTAAACAAACCATCTACAGCATAACATTTCAATCATCAGGTGGCTATATAGAACTCAAAAATCAAATCATCTGCTACCAGTTCAACGAGGGCACTCACTTCTAGAATAACATACCCAACATTGCATGGGTCAAAGGTTCAGGAAATTCTTAAAATGCCGGTTACTGTTTGATATACAATTCAAATGAAAGGGCTGTAAACGGGTTCAATGGTGTCCTTCTTCCTGCAGTATACGAAGTTGGTCAGGCGGCAAATGTACACCTTCTCCTCATTAGCTGCAGCCCCGGCCACAATACTTGGGTTATAAGGAATCTTTGTCCCTTTCCAGTCAATAAATACATTTTAATCCACTGATGTGTTCAGCTGTACTGGCTTAATGTCTGATATTAAGTCAGTTGACATTCTAACAGCAGAGGCCCAGATAAGCTGCGTATCCGGGTAAAATACGCATAGAATTACGCATTGAAAAATAATTGTTGCGTACCAATTACACATTTAAAATTTTAGATACGCAAAAAGTTTAAAACAAATGCGTATGGAATATATTTATAAAAATCGCTTGCGTAATGAAAAAGACATCGATTGCTATCAAGTTGTACTGTTAGTATAGGACAAGTGTTGTAATGTCAGTATAGGATGAGTGATTTTTTATGAAAAAAAATTCCATTATATTAAAGTTGGTTTTGATTAGGTATGACATAAGGCAGAACATACCTGCTTAGTAACTTACTCAATGACGTAATACTTAAGTGAGTAAAGTGACTGAAATACACACATATTTGAAAGCAGTGGGTAATGGAAAATGAAATACCCACTCAACATTCATAATACCCACTTAAAAAAAAATACAATGGGCACAGTACCCACATGAGCTAAATCTTATCTGGAGCTCTGCTAACAGTGTTGTCTAATCCTGTTCATGGTCTGAAGTCTTTGTGACCGTTGCCACGAAGTCAGGCTACACTACTTTCTGGAAACCTGGTATCATCACTAGTTGAGTTGAGTTGAGTTGATTTTAGTTTAGTTTAGTTTTACGCCACACTCAGCAATATTCCAGCTATATGGTGGCGGTCTGTAAATAATCGAGTCTGGACCAGACAATCCAATGATCAACAGCATGACCATCGATCTGCGCAATTGGAAACCGATGACATGTGTCAACCAAGCCAGCGAGAGTGACCACCCGATCCTGTTAGTGGCCTCTTACGACAGTGAGTGAGTCAGCGAGCCAAACACCACTTGATCAATATTCAAACAATATCACAGTGGGTCAGCATAATGTGGAGGAAAACCTATATTGTTGCATTTCTCAGATAAATATCTTTGGTGACATCACCGAAAATGGGTATGATACTGAAAGACCTAGCATCAAAACTGAACAGTTCACATCAAGAACACCCCTTTGAAGGTCACAAGAAAACATTTCCTTCAAATCAGTGAGAGAAAACAATCTAGAATCCGCGGACACGTTCCACAAAGTGATATTACCGCTAAGGTGATCCTAACTACCATACTAACATAGACTTATGACAGTCTTAGCTCTAACCTACTTTTGTGGAAGGCCGCTAATATTTCTAAATAATCAGCAACACAACAACTTTTTAAACAAACAGATAAGCCACATGGGACAAAAAATCCTTCACTCCCTAAACAGCAATGTCGCTTCCATAATCCACTATCATTTACCTCCAATAGTCGAAATATTTTTTCACTACCCATAAGTCGTAAAGTCGGCATAGGAAAACAGTTTGCAAACAGGGGGTGTTTAACTTATGACTGTGAGGTGAAAGGTCAGATAACACAACACCTGGACGAGATCAGCCAATATTGACGCAGAGATCAAAATAGCCCAAATTGTTCCTTGATCATGCTGGTGTTTGGTCACACCTTTGCTGGTCACACCAATAAATAAGGCCGTGTCCAGGTTTACGGATGTGTCAAGGAAGGGCTCTACAACTCGACATCGTCTTAGGTGGGAGTACTGGTGAGAGAGTCAGTGAGTTTGGTTTTACGTCGCTTACAATTTTCAAGATCACAGCAAAAGACACCAGAAATGAGCTTCACACATTGTACCCATGTAGGGAATCGAACCCAGGTCTTCCGTGTGACAAGCAAACGCTTAAACCACTAGGCTACCCCACTGCCCTTTGAGTACGGTGCCCCGTTAATCAAACTCAAGGCGACAGTCATAAATCTATGGAAAAGTGTGGGAGTTACAAGGAACTACAACCGCTTTGAGGAACGGGCCACTGGTAACTACAGATCCGACTATATCGATTCACTGCACTTGTCCATGGCCTAATGGCTACCAACCAACATAAATATAATATTGATGGATGACATCAATACTATGACAGAGAGCCGAGTTTCAATAAACAGGTAATGAGTGTTGAACTGGATTTAATAAGCTTAGAAAGTATGACAAAAATAATAAGGTTAAAAGCAACACGTCCATCCAGCATGTAGAAATGTATGGAACGGATGCAGACAAAAGTATGTATTGCATCCCTAGAATGCACAACAATATTCACTGTACCAAATTCTTGACAAGAAATATAAATATAAAAAAGTAATTATTAAACATTACAGTGCAATACTCAACACCGTTTCAGTACTGAAACGCTGGGATTACGCACAATGCAAGGTCACTTTGAGGAACAAAGACCAGGTTGGAATATATGTTTTTTGCTAAATGCACACTTAGCATATTCTGGCAATAGGGCAGCAGTCTGTAAATAATGGACTAGTCCAGAAAATCCAGTGATCAACAGTAATCTATGCAATTGGGACACTGACATGTCAACCATGTCAGCGAGTCTGACCACCGATCCTGTTAGTCGTCTCTTACGACAAAGCATGGGTTGATGAAGATCACGGGTTGGAATATATCTATCATGTTTAATCAATGAATTGTCCTGGAGGCTAGGTTATTTCTGTAGTAGCTGAGTCAAAGGACATCCATTGTACACTTTCAACATCTGGGTGAAGAATAGGATTCCCTGAGTTTTATGCTTAATTACGCATCATGACAACTGAACATAAAATTACATAAATCCTGTGAAAATTGCATTAAAACCACTTCAAACACATACATCAATTGTAACTTATAACTTCAGTTTTGATCTGGTATTTCTAAATCTGTTAAAAATCCA